CACTTTTGCCTTTTTGGGGGTTGGAACAATAGTGTTTTTTTTAAAGCAGGTGGCGACCATGGACTGTGACAGGGAGGAATTAAAGATGTCAGTAAACACTGTGGCCAGCTGGGCTGCACATGTCCTCAGGACACGAGGTGGTATCCCATCAGGCCCTGCAGCCTTACGGGTTTTCACCCTGCTCAGAGTCTTCTGCACGTCCTGCTCTGAGAGTTTCAGAACAAACTTGCCTTGCACACTTGGGGTCTTCTCAGCATTGCCCCTGTTCAGAGCATCAAAGCGGGCATAGAAATGGTTCAGCTCGTCAGGCAGGGATGTGTTGTTCGTGTCAATCTCCTGGCTGCAGCCCTTGTAGCCTGTGATTGACTGTAATCACTGCCACAGCCTCCGGGTGTCAGCGCACTGCGTTTCAAGCCGCACTTTGTAGCTCCGTTTGGCGCGTTTTATGGCTTCCTCTAATGCATAATGTACAGCTCTTTGTCCCCCGATTTGAACGCGGTGGATCTATCTTTTATTTTATTGCGAATGTCGTTGTTGAACCACGGTTTCTGATTGGGAAATGACCTAATTTTCATTTCTGGTACACAAATGTCGGTGCAGTATTTAATATAGCTGGTGACCACGTCCGTATACTCATTTAAATCTGTGTCGGGAGCTCTGAATGCGTCCCAGTCTGTACTATCAAAGCAGTCTATTAACCTGCTTTTCGCCTCCTCAGACCAACAACGTACAGCTTTATAATTTTAGATGTGTTCAATTATAAATAATCCTACAAGCCTCAGTTATTAGACACGTGCAGCCTCTGCACACTACCATACTATTACTGATACTAAACATTTAATTTGATTAATCAGAATGGATAAAACATTTTATTTTTAATAAGGCTTTTATGGTGAGGTAAAGGTGTATTAAAATTGCTAATGATGTCACTGAAACTTCTCTCAAGCACGGTCACACTTTTAAACATACGACACCTTATGGGTCTATATACAGTACATAAAAAAATCAGTGATTTTCAGAAGACATACGGTTATTTCACTTACATTTTCTTTAAAAAAAAACGTAATTTTACTGTAAAACCCTTGTTTATGTAAGGTGTTGGGCAATCAGTCAAAGCCTGGAATTTTTCAGTTTTCAGGAATTTTTCACAAGTCAGCATACGATGAAGCTTGAAGTGCAGACTTTAAAGGGTAGTTTCAGCTATTATCTCACATTTGTTTACCTGAATTAATATAGGGTAGTTCAGGATTAGAGATGATAATTAGATTTTGTGAAAACTTGACATCTGTTCAGACATTAGCTGTTCCTTTCTTCCATGTTTGGAATGCTCAAATACCACTGCCCACTTTTTTGTCTGCTGTCCGGTGCCTGAATTACAGCAAGGGTCCAAAATGAGCTAGTGTCACGATGACTAGGAATGAGTCAATCCTAAATTAACACTGTGCTGGTAGAAACAGAGCTCAAAGATGAACACCTGCCAAAGCTGATGGCTCTGGTGCCAACACAGGCAAATGTGGAAAACAGGCAGGTCTTGAACATCCGTATCTACCAGAATATTCATACCAAAATCCTTTAATAAATGTCAACAGTAGCTACGGCCACTGAAATAATTTCATATGTGAAAATATTTAGCAACTTAAAGTGCATCTAGAGTAACCAAAATAGCAGATACAATTTGAAACTGCCAACAAGGAAAGGCTATTTTATTACAAAAACACATGACATTCATGTGCAAAAATAGGATAGGTCAAGTTGACATCTTTAAACAATCCACTACTGTACACAGACTTGGGAGACATTTGTCAAAGAGCATAAAAAAGATTTTGGGTCACCAGGGAACAGTTTTAATGAAGTATAAAAGTGATAGCAACACTAAAAAAATAAATGTTTGAAAAGAAAAAAAATCTCCCACCTCATTTATAACAGTTGACATTTGCTTTAATCACGTCTATACTAATTCCTTAAAACAAGACACATCTCTTAACAGCTGTAACAAAACACTGGACAAAAAAGTCTGGCAAATCCACAGAGCCCTCTGCCGGGTCACTCTGCTCCTTCTGAGGCTGCGCTCACAGAGACAGCTCAATCCCTCGCTGGAGCTAGTGGACAGGAATCTCCTCAGTTATAAATAAAATTGAACCTGCAAGCAGAAATTAATCAACGTGAGAACCCACACACAGCCTCAAACATGCAGATGAGACAAAACATCAGCCCGACCTGCCACATTAAACCCACCAGGATCAAGTTGGAGCTAAACGTATATCAGGATATTAACAAAAAACAATTGTAAATACACCAAGAGCATCATCAAAGCAAAACTCAATGTGACACAGCATGTGTCTGAAGTGTGTGGACATGATTCCTGTCCGTAATGGACAAGACTTCGGCCGCACCTACTCCCCTCATAGAGCCCAGAACTCACCTGCTCAGAAGCTGTGGCAGGCTGGAGATGATGGGTCCGTAGCCGGGAGCATTATCGTACAGCTCAAACAGGGGAGCAGCCACTAGTTTGTAGTTCTTGGGCACGGCAAACAGGGCTGAAGCAAAATGTTTTTTTTTACTATAGACAACAGTTCAGTTCAATGCTTTATTCCCACAACTAATTGCATGGAATTTGGGTCAGTTATCTCATACAATTAAAGACATACAATACAAACATATACGGCATAGACCCAGTAACAGAATGCATCCACCCAATACATTCACACACCAGCAACAAATTAATAACAGTGAGACAGATAACAGTGGGGCCTGATGGAGTAACAATGAGATGTGCAAAATCTCAAAAGTTAAAGTGAAAAAGTAAAACCTTTGAACACTCATAATCAGTACTACATTTTGATCTCATTCCATTGCTTGAGTTTTATAGCTACAAGCAGATGCAAGATAATGCCAGAGAATCTTAGTGCTGCCTTTGACATGGTTGACCACTCTGTTCTGGAAACCGAGGTTGAGTTTGAGGTTGGCTTATGTGGAACCGTCCTTAACTTCATACTTAACTAATCGTTTTCATTATGTTTAAATATCTAATAATTGTACTGCTTCATCAATGTCGCCAGTTCAATTTGGGGTACCACAGGGATCAGTGCTGGGACCAATATTGTTCTCTCTCTACATGCTGCCGCTAGGTAGGATAAACGAAAACATAATATTAACTTTCATTCATATGGCTAATGACACTCGAATATACATTTCGTTTACACCTAACGACAACTCGTCTATTATCACTTTATAGTTAATTGCTTGGTTCTGTTTTTTGGAGGCAACAATATTGATAGGACTACTATAACTTCAGCACTTAATTCAGAGGATTTAAAATGTCCCTCAAAGACTCAGCATGCAACCTAGGCGTCATATTAGACACAAGATTCTCATTTAACTCTCATGTTAAATCAGTATCAAAAACATGCTTCCTACAGTTAAAAAATATTGAAAAGGGCAGATTCTCTCCACTCAAAGAAAGAGAAATTAATACATGCTCTTGTATACAGCAGGTTAGACTACTGCAATACCCTACTATCAGGGAGCACCCACCACTCTTTCAACACCTTACAGCTAATTCAGAATGCAGCAGCTAGAATTGTTACTAGGAGCAGAAAGTACAACCATATCCCTTATACTTAGCTCTTTTCATTGGCTTCCTGTTAGGTATTAATTTATTCCTTTTTTTAATTGTATAAGTATAAAGGGGTTGGGCACCCAGTTGACCTTGGATCCCTAGAGGTTCTTTTCTCCTAAGGACTTTTTGGTTCCTCTCCTCCATTGTCTTCTGGTCTTTCTGTTCTGTATTCACAACATGTATGGTCACGTGCTTTGTTAAGCGCACTGGGGCAACCTTGTTGTGAATAGCGCTATATAAAAATAAATTGAATTGAATCTGAGAATCTCAGCTCTGTAGCCAACATCCTCAGGTCAGGCAGCAGAAGAACAAATCTCTTACCCTTTTCTTGCAGCTGCACAAGGAACAGCTTCTTGTGCTCCTTGGGTTTGGTGATGTGAGCTGGAATATATGGATACTGCAAAGCAAAACCGAAAAGAGAATGTGAACAGACTACCTTAGTGTGGGAAGAGAAGCTGGTACAAGAGTTACAGCAACTCAGGGGAGTCAGCACACAACATATACATACACAGTGCTGTACAACACTTATAAAACATCTGTGCTTCCAGCAGTCTGTGATTGAATATGGATAGTAATAATCCTCACACAAGCCAGAAAAAAAACTAAATAAGAGACCGTAGTAAAACGTTACATGGAAAGTAGATCACTTTTTGTTTTCTTAATCCTTCCAGTATTCACAGTATTCTTGTATAGCTGGAAGTAGAAATAAGCTACTCAGCCATGCTACTGAAGCTGACACGCTGGTTTCTTTCGAGAAATGACTGGATGAGTTCTTCAGATCAATTATCTACAAACAACCAAACGAGTTTGTAGGGCCAAACAGGGGTCCTCTCACTTGTAGGGGCCATGCGGTGGCTTTGTGGCTCAGGATCTGCGCCTGTGGCTGGACGGTTGCCGGTTCGTATCCCGCAGCTGCCAGAGGAATCCTATGCCGTTAGGCCCCTGAGCAAGGCCCTTAACCCCAACTGCTACAGGGGTGGCGTATAAATGGCTGACGCTGTGCTCTGACCCCAAGCTTCTCTCCCTGTCTGTGTGTCTTATGGAGAGCAAGTTGAGGTATACAAAAAGTCAAATTCCTAATACAAGAAATTGTATATGGCCAATAAAGTGATCTTATCTTGTAACCTTCCCTATGTTCTCAGCTGTACTTTGTGTGCATGTGTGTAGGCACTTAAACTGAAGGACTAACCTGTGGAGGCTCAAAGTTGGGTCGCCACCAATTGCCTATGCAGTCATCAATCACCCAGTCCTGCTGGACTCCGTCCTGACGTCCCAGAATCTGGTGATTAAAAAACTTTTAAAAACTAATTGCATGTCGGCCAAAAAGCAGCAGCACAAGTCTTTTAATGAAACTGATGAAAAAACACAGTAAACACTCACACATCATAAAAAACTGAAAAGAAAGAATGGATTTCTCCATTTACACTGTGAGCAGACTCAGTGTGTGTAGTGCTACACAGCAGACAGAACATGGATGTCACAAAAGAAAACACAACCTGCTTATAAATCAGTGCTTAGCTATCACAGCCTCAGAAGCTAACCTAAATGAACTACCACAGATAATGGATTTTAAACATCAAGCAAAATAGTGTACTATGAGAATACCAATCAAACAGAAAGAAACCTGTGTAAAGAGATACATTTTTGATAGACAAGAAATTCTTTACTAAATCAATACCTCTGTCATAAGGCGCTTGAGTCCTTCCACTTCATCTTCCCCTGGGTTTAATTCTCCACCTGGTCTGAAAGACAAAACAACTCAATGAGCCGCAGTAAAAACAACACACACCTGCAGCCATTTCAGACATAAGAACTGCAAGCAGGAGTCAGTTGAGAGAAGCAGAAAATTCCATTTGAACACAAGCCAAGATAAAGACATCAGGACTCAAGAAAGGTTACAAACAAGGGGTCATGTGGTCCTGCTTGCTTGTGTGGCTGCTGATCAGATGGTCCTGGAGTGCACACGAGGAGCCGGCCTGAACCACCTAGCTTACTCCAACTACCAGCTCCTGCACTTGTCTCCTCCTTCATCCCACCTGACCCTGGTTTTCCTCTCATTAAGCTGTCAGTGATCCCTTGGGCTTAATTCTGTCAGCACCTTAGAGCAGTCTTAATTCTTCACTTCACCCAGAATGCCTTGTCCTGAGTTAACTAGCCACCTAGATAACCATGGCTTCCTCTCCTGGAGGTCGTCGTTCAGCGTTCCTACTCTCAAGCCTCATAGCCAGGAGGTCACACACGCCACCCCAGCCCTGCTGGATACTCACAGCTTGAAGAAGGTGGTGCCCAGCTGCAGCAGCAGCACATGCGGCAGCCTGTGCTCGTGCACGATCAGAACCCCCTCCACCGTCCGCCGCATCCCGATCTTCTCAAACTCCTCTCGCATCCGCTGGAACCGCGCCGCCACCGAGCTGTCCTTCTCGTACAGGGGCTCCTTCGTGCCAAAGGTGTAGTTGGTCAGCGGGTACCTGCAACAGAGAGACTCAGCGAATCAGCTCGGTGACAACACCCGCTGCAGGAGCCCAGAGAGGGAGCCCCATCCAAGGCTTCAGCCTGGTAGTGTACTGGTGCTGCACGACATTTTCAGCACAAGTGTTCCCTGCGACCCTATACTGGATAAAGAGTGAGAAAATGGGTGAACTGTAACATCATACTGGCAAATTTTCTTTGTTGACTGGCATTAAACTGGCCGCCCTTTAACGCACAAGACTCCTACAGCTTGAGAACTAATTTCCTCGTCCTGCAGCCTTAAGTCTTAAGTCTTTTTCGTCATTTACCACAGTAAAGGGGAACATTTTCAAAAGACACCAGCTGGCTCATCCATCATTTAGCCTGGCCACGCAAAGTCGTTTCATCTCAATACTGAGTTTCTACGCCATCGTTCAGACAGAAAGCAAGTTCAATTACAAACTTAAGTCGAGATCTTTACAGAAAACAGCATAGCCAAAAAAAAAAGAGACAAATTAAATACTAAAAGATTTTTCGTTCAGCAATGCTGTGCAAGATCCGCGACAAACAACGATAAGGAAGTAGAAACAAGGCTCACAGGTTGATGGTGCGCTCCAGGGTGAGCGGCTTGGTCGGCTGCGGGATGTATTTGTTTCCGAACTGAGTGACTCCGCGGGGCCAGCCGGTCTGTGATCGGTTGGGAGGCACGACCGACATGATTCTCCTAAAGCCTGTTAATTCCCACAAAAAGCAAAACGGTGGTAAAAAAAAACACCGCGAAAAAATAAAGACTAAGGACCCTTTCTCTAAAGAACTCTGTAAATGTAAAACAAAAGAAAACAGAATTGCACCGAACAAATAAATTCCGGCCACAATCACACACACTCCCTCCACTATCCACAAACAACTACATCCGGGACAACAAAGAGGCCCGTTTCCGTTTTACGACAGACTCCGGCTTTGCGACAGAAGACGTCGCTGTATGGCTACCATTGTATGATAATTGAAATCAAAACAGAAACGTGCAGTAATGAATGTGATGTGCGTTCTAATAAGAATACCGCTGTTCGTTTGTTGAAGTTGAATTTGTAAAACCAGACAGGATTATTTGTATTTTCTAATGAAAGCATCTTTGAGAAGATTTACCTCTGTTAAGTAGCAGCAGTGGGTTCTAATGGGACAGTAGTGGTTAATTTAAATGACATTTTTATTGAACATGCTATTTGGTAGATAGCTTTATCTTGACGTGATTGACTGTAAATGGCACCTTGAATGTGTTACTCTGGGATATGGGCACGGTATTTGTTTAGTGTTTAATGTGGCAACCCTCAATGGGGTGTTATTAGGGCAAGAAGATGCTGCAGAGAGCTGATGGTTCTTTGCCCAAGTTCTGATCAGTGATTTAAATAACATAATAATTATAATTCCTTACACATATTTAGAGCTTTTCTACACACTCAACTCAAAGTACTACACAGGTAATGGGGATCCCTTCCACCACTGCCAGTATGCAGCCCCACCTGGATGATGACAGCAGCCATAGTGCGCCAGAACGCTCACCACACATCAGCTATCAGTGAGGAGGAGAGCAGAGTAATGAAGCCAGTTCAGAGACGGGGATTATTAGGAGGCCATGATTGTTATGGGAAATTTGTCCAGGACGTTTGGTTAACACCCCTACTCTTTTCAAGAAACACACTGGGATTTTTAATAAATACAGAGAGTTATGACCTTGGTTTTACGTCTCATCCAAAGCATGGACCCTTTTTTTTACAAGAAAGACTGCAGGGTGACCACCTACTGGCCTTACTAACACCTCATACCTCAGGCTCATACTTGCTTAGTTTCAATGGCCTGTCAGTGATGAGTTGCAGGGTGATATGACTGCTGGCTGTATGTTATCCAGACCGCTATTCATCCACCACTTAAGGTTTCTAGTGAACAGTAACCAAGTGAACACAGACTGTAAGTGAATTAATTTGTCAAAATAAGCATTCCCCCTGTTTCCACCAGAGGAAATCTGGTGCCTGAGTTACAAGTGCTGTCACAACCCAAATGTCGCTGGCTGAAAATTATGCCTTTCTTTTAATGGGCACTGTTAAATAATTACATGCATACGATATTATCTTTCAAATTAAATGAAACATTTTAAAAAGAACAAAAATGTTGATTCCTGTAACATACTGTACTGTACTGAAATGTGAGACGTACACACACATTTCACTGGCCAGAGACAGCTTCTGCATGTCATGCTGGTGATTCTTATGAAGGGTGAAACATGGCTGTTGGAAGTGATATTATGCAAAGTGAAGTAGGAATTGAAGTCTGTTTAGTTGGTTCTGTTTGTTTAGTGCTATGAAATGGTGAGAAGCTCATTAATGTTAAATCCCAGACTTATATATGTCCATTTTCATCCATTAATTTTCAAGGACTATTCAGTCGAGTACTGTAACCTGGCAGACAATGGACACAAGGCAGAAAATACCTTGGACAGAGGTTGCCAATCCATCACAGGGCACTCCAACATGTATAAGGGGCAGGAAACCATTGTGAACACCACGCAGAAGGTGCCCCAGGCCAGATTCTATGTCTGTTATATGAACTATTTTATATTGTCACTGCTAATCTCTCAGTGTGTGCAATAAGGCTTGACTATATGTAGCAATTTCAGAAGCAAAGATATACTTCCCTTTTCAGATTCTGGGCATAAAAAATAATATTAAAAAATAATTATTGACTCTTCCTGGTCTCTGCTTTGGAATAGAAAAATTAGTTAGCTTAAAAATGTGAAATGAAATTTCAGTTTATTTTCAAAAATGTAAAGTTACCATGTTTATCTGTCTGAGCTGTTCCGGCTCCTCATTGCATAGAGGTTTTTGCCAACTTCCTCAGCCAGCTGACTGTCAGTGTCTCTCAGCACTCTGGTCTTCTCACAATGCAGCAGTCCAACAGCACAGCCTCTAATCACACCCAGGGAGCTGTGGCCCCCAGTGTTGTCCTGGGGCTCTGCGTGCTGGTGGGGGTCCCCGGCAATGCTGTGGTGATCTGGGCTTTGCTCACCAAGCTGAGGAGAGTCACCTTCACCGTGAAGCTCATGCTGAACCTGGCCATCACCGACCTCCTCACACTCATCACCCTGCCCTTCTGGATCTACGCCTTGCTGGCCACCTGGGTGTTTGGAAGCGGCCCATGCAAGTTCCTGTCCTATATCATCTACTGCAGCATGTACGCCAGCGTGCTCAGCGTCACCCTGATGAGTGTGCAGCGATTCATCATGGTTCTGTACCCTCAGGCCAAGCTGTGGCTGCGCCGCAGGGGGGAGAACGCTGTGCTCCTGGGGATCTGGGCCCTCGCCAGCCTCTTCGCCAGCCCCATAATCAAAGTCCGGGACGTGGTGGAGGACAGCAACTTGCAGAAGAAGTGTTTGCCCAGGACATACAGTTCAGACAGCGAGAGAGTGGTGCTCCTGTTGCTGGAGACACTCCTGGGGTTCGTCATCCCTTATTCCATCCTGACCACCTCTTACATCTGCCTCACCAGGAGGGTGAAGCAAACTACCTTCGCCAGCAGCACGAGGCTGGAGAAGGTGGCCACTCGGATCGTGGTGGCCTTCTTTGTCTTTTGGCTCCCCTGCCACGTTTTCAATGTGCTCAAAGTCTGCGCCATCCTCCTGAAGACTTCCAATATGGACGCATCTGCAAAGCTGGAGAGTGTGTGGGAGGCAGGCAACGATGTAGCAGGATCTCTGACGTTCCTCAACAGCTGCCTCAACCCGTTCCTGTACGCCTTTGCCTCACGTAGCCTCTGGAAAGACGCCCAGGAGAAGGGTGTGCTCACAGCGCTTTGTCTTTGCAATGGTGACCATTTCAGCCAACAAGATGAGATGACCTAGTACATCCAGGTGCTTCTCTGCAGTCTGTTTCATTTGGAGGTTTAGTAAACCAAAGGTAGTAAATCTTTTGTGTATTTTAGATTTCATGATTACTTTTTATTGAAATAAATCTTAAGCTAAATCTTATGTTTAATAGAATAGAAACAATTGAAACAGGAAAGCTAACAGTAAAGTATATAATCCCAGTGTTAAATATTACTGCTCCATTAAAGAGAAATTGGTTATTTAAGTAAATTCTGGATAGATGGCACATTTAATTCTCTTACAACTTTGTCTTTCGCCTGATTTGCTGGCGGCCTGAGAGGTGTTGCTGTTAAACTCTGTGTGGATATCTCACCACACAACAGAGGGGTGAGACTGAGTGCCTGGAGCAGGTTGGTCTGTGTAGACACTTTTTTGCTGCTATCTTTTGTCTTAAACACTGTTAGAAACTAGACCAGAAGTAAATGCATAGGGTTGATTGTGTTTTTTGTTTCCTGCATTTAGGCTTTGACTGATTTGGGTTGGATTGCTAACTGATTTCCAAAATGCTGTATTGTTGTCTTGAAAACAATTTGCATATTGTTTTATCTTTACATTTGCAAGTAACTGTAACCTGAGCAAAAGTGAATTAGATCTTTGTTGCTTTTTCCTCATATTTTTATCATGTGATTTTTTTACCTCCTTCAACAGATTACATTTTTTCCTCTTCCCTTTTTGTTTTTTTCTTTTTTGAAAATTATGGAAATCTGGACTACAAGCTTAACAATATTAGTGTTACTAACGATGGAAGAGGTTATTGTTTTTACTGCTGTTAGTTTCTTACCAGCCTAATACTTTATGAACTGTCTGTTTAATGAGCAAAAGGAAAGAAATACAGCTATCAAAGATATTAGCATTTAAGATGAATGTTTTCCTGAATTGTATGTTCCACTGATGTATCCCGTGAAGGAATAAAACATATACAGTATATATTTCTCCCTCTACATTACCTTTGCCTACTGCCTTGTCTCTCTCACACCTGAAGAAGGCTCCATGGCCGAATCTTTGTGTTTTCTCTCTTCTTTTTTTCAACATGGAATAAACCTATTACTTGTTCCTTTGCAGCCTACGCATGCTGACGCAGCTCCCCACCTGAACATATACAGTAAATACTTGAGGGAAGGCTGAATCTATCTATGAGTGAAAATATGCACATGGTTTAGGGTAAAATAGGATTTACAGCAGGCATGGTAGGAATCAAGTGCTAGAGACAGAAATTACAAAAAGCACTGGACAGCCCATACCCACCCTCAAAAGAAAAAGAGCTGTTCTCTGACTGCTCGATAAGTAACCAAGGTCCACTCTCTGAGCCCAGCCTTCACCAGACACCCTGGGAATGATGAGACTAAGCCAGTGAATTATCACCACACCGTCTCACAGAGACCCAGGGAAAGATATTACACTGAAAACCACAACTGCACAGTCATGAAAAACAAACTTCAACTTGACTTCATCATGAAGCACTGAGAAAGTTAGTCACTGACAGAGCTGGGGTCATTAATCACCCTACTTCCCCAGGGGAGCAGAGGTTCCCACTGCCTTCATTCTAAACAGCCTCCCTGTACAAACTCAGTATCTTGAAGGGGTCTGTGCAGGGCATTACACTGTTTGCGCTGGAGCAGTAGCTGATGAAGATGAATGTTGGAGTTCACAGGGTTTCCTTTTCAGAACTGGCCTTCCTCCATCGTTTGAAGTTTTAAGATCATGCAGAGGTATCCAAATATTCCTGAAGTGTATTGAATAAATACACTGAAAACATGTGGAAAATAATAGCTTCATTAGCGCGGTGTCATTAGCACATCAAGCTTTTCATGTCGTATTACTTTCTGTTACTTTTAGAAATTTCACAGTGAGTCAGAACTAGTCACATTATACACCTGGCAACAACACGGCAGGAGCATTTCTGAAACAATAAAAATGAATCTAACAATGAAAACAAACATCCAATATCAAGGTGGGTATAAATTTTAATAGCCAGCACAACCTATCCGTTCTTATGGGTTTATGGAGGAGGGTCCTTTTACAGCAATCTTGAAATTCAAATGTGACATGTCTATATTTTGATGTGGTGAATTCAGCTAAGCTCAGAAAACTTGCTACAGTTGAACTGCCCTTTAATTTTTTGAAGTATAAACTAGAAATCCTGCCTTCTGCTCGACTGAACCATTTTTTGATTGTCCTGTATGAGCTTAATGTACATCTACAAAATGGCTGTAGTTGTTTATGCAGCTGTCTGTGCACATGTACAGTAGCTCTGGCTTAGTGTCTGTCTGTGCACTTGTACAGTAGCTCTGCCTTAGTGTCTGTCTGTGCATTGCCCTGCAGGGCTCAGCGGAGCTGAGTTTTCATCGCAATGAGCAGGAGGCTCACTGAGAGCAAAGGCAATATAAGAGGCTTGTGGCAGAAAACCCTTTAGATCACTTTTCCACTTCAGGAGAATTTTGGTTCTTCTAGACCTTTTGTTCGTTCGTCTTACCTCTTTAGCCCTGATTTGTGGTCCCCAACAACTTCAGTAATCCAGTTCCTTTAAAAAAAAACATAATTATAGGAACCGATGGTTAATTTCCATTAAAGAGAACAATGGCTTTCTTAACCATATGCAAAGCTTCTTCCTGGTTAGGCTTCATCGTCATACAGAGTGCTTCAACCACACTAGGTTTCATTTGTACAATGAAAACAACTTCTGTACAATAGGCGTTCCTGTTCTTAATCAGCGCTCAGATTCCGGCTCCTCATTATGTAGAGGTTTTTGCCAGCTGTCAGTGTCTATCAGTTTATCTCTCTGAGCTGTCCCAGCTCCACATTGCATAGAGGTTTTTACCAACTTCCTCAGCCAGCTGACTGTCAGTGTCTCTCAGCACTCTGGTCTTCTCACAATGCAGCAGTCCAACAGCACAGCCTCTAATCACACCCGGGGAGCCGTGGCCCCCAGTGTTGTCCTGGGGCTCTGCATGCTGGTGGGGGTCCCCAGCAATGCTGTGGTGATCTGGGCTTTGCTCACCAAGCTGAGGAGAGTCACCTTCACCGTGAAGCTCATGCTGAACCTGGCCATCACCGACCTCCTCACACTCATCACCCTGCCCTTTTGGATCTACGCCTTGCTGGCCACCTGGGTGTTTGGAAGCGGCCCATGCAAGTTCCTGTCCTATATCATCTACTGCAGCATGTACACCAGCGTGCTCAGCGTCACCCTGATGAGTGTGCAGCGATCCATCATGGTGCTGTACCCTCAGGCCAAGCTGTGGCTGCGCCGCAGGGGGGAGAACGCTGTGCTCCTGGGGATCTGGGCCCTCGCCAGCCTCTTCGCCAGCCCCACAATCAAAGTCCGGGACGTGGTGGAGGACAGCGACTTGCAGAAGATGTGTTTGCCCAGGACATACAGTTCAGACAGCGAGAGAGTGGTGCTCCTGTTGCTGGAGACACTCCTGGGGTTCGTCATCCCTTATTCCATCCTGACCACCTCTTACATCTGCCTCACCAGGAGGGTGAAGCAAACCACCTTCGCCAGCAGCATGAGGCTGGAGAAGCTGATAACATGGATTGTAATGATGTTCTTTGTCTTTTGGTTACCTTATCACATATTCAACCTGCTGTACGTCTACACTACTTTGAAGAAAGTGTCCACAGAGGGCACGTCCTTGGTGGGGAAAGTTTTGGAGGTGGGCACCAACATAGCCGGGTCTCTTGCTCTGGTCAACAGCTGCCTCAACCCGTTCCTCTACGCCTTCGCCACGCACAGCATCCGCAGGGACATCAGGTCCAGGAGGTTTTTGCAGCGCTTCAGGCTGGTCTGCAGTTCCAAAGGCGGGGACACCCTCACGCAGGACTCTCAGAATCGCGCCCAGGCGACAGGGCTCTGTGTGCAGGCCAGCTGCCAGCCTGAACAGGACAGCTGCGCTCCGAGGTGAAGCTCTTTTTGTTTCTGCATTAGCAGTTTCACAGGACTGGAGTGTGGCAGCTTAGACAGGGTGTTTATGCTAAATATTTAGCCATTTGTGTCTGTTGCCTGGCATGAGACAATGCTTAAAAGCTCTGAAAAGCTCTGTTTTGTGGCTTAAGGTGTAAATGGGGGAAGACAGGGGGTACAATCCGACACCTGCCCTGTCAGGGCACAAGGAAGAAGTATATCTGCTAATCCGGTGATTTACTCTGATACAACACAAGAAAATGAACAGGGGATTCAGAGAAAAGGCTTTTCATCAATATTTATTAGAGAATAACAGAAAATAATTATGTAAGCATTTGCTAAATTTAGAATTATTCTGTCACTGTTTTATATACAGTATTTATTTGATGGTGATAAGTATTTCAATGTCTAGTTTGAAATTAGATTCCAGTGCAATGTTTGCATGTGCAGTTTAAGTGCATTTTATTAAATCACTGAATTTTGCTTAATTATAATATCAGAGATTCTAATTTACTTAGTTTTTGATGCATTAAATGAAAATGTCAATATTAGTCTTTCAGCTGTGTTAGTGCACAGCTTGATATTGCCTTAAAGCAGTGGTTCTCAAACTGTGGTACGCGTACCGGCAGTGGTGCGTGGAGTGCCGCCAAGTGGTATGCCAAATGACCATGGAACTGTGTCGTGTGCGCTGAAAAATCGGGACGGGTTTTCATATTTTGTATTTTAATACGTGTTGAATACGCAGCCTACGTACTACGATACAGTGCGCGCTAATACTTTAGTGGACACAAGAGATACTCTGTAATTCTATACCACTCTATAGGAATGCGTGCTACGGATGCAAATAACCAATTGTATTTAAAAAAGCTACTGTATCTCCAGCAAATAGGGAGAAAGGAGAATGTGCGTGATTTTAGAACAGTGCCAACGTTGTAAACACAGGAATGCATAGAAATACGTGCTACAAACGCAGGTAATCTTGTGAGCACACAAAAGCGTGATAACAGAAAAATATTTAAGAACTGTTCTAATTTGAGAAAAATACACCGAGCGTCTCTGTGTTTTGCTCCCATGCGCATGAAATAAAAACTTTAAATAAATACGGAAATAAAAACGGAAACACGGAAAAATACAAGCTTGCGGATTGCTAAAGCAGGTAGCTACAGTACACTATTTCTGAAGAACCTTATTTACCGTTGGCAAAAGAGCTGACACGTATTATGTGTGGAGAAAAAGCTGCTAAACAGCTCGACCTGCTGCCCCCCTCCCCCTGAAAGACACTGTCATTCATAGAATTATTGAAATGAAGAATTATATCAAAAGTACACTGTAGTCGATTTGGCCAATTTGCTCGTTTACGTTAGATACGAGTTTGAGGGCATGTCCCATGAAGACTTTATGTTCTGTAAACCGCTACCAACAGGAACTACAGGAGAGCACATATTTCAGCTTCTGAATGAATTTATCGAAGAGAATGGCCTCGACTGGATAAAATGCGTCTGAGTTTGTACAGACGGTTTGTACAGAGCAATGACAAGCCGACATAACGGTGTAGTTGCACGAATTAGAGAGGTTGCTCCAGAAATTAATGTACGCATTACAACATCCACCGCGAGACCTTTGCCGTCAAGAAAATGCCTGACGATTTAAAATCTGTTAGACTCTGTTGTGAATTGTATCAAGGCTCGATAAATTAATTCACATCTGCTTTGCTCAACTAAACAGGCTCACCCCTCTCACTGAAATGGTGCTTTTTTATTAGTTGTTGTTAATGTTTTTTTTTCTGTAAAACACTTTGAGAAGCCACCTTTAAAGGCGCTATATCAAATTAAGTTTATTATTAGAATATTTATTATATGTATGTGTGAGTGTGTGTGCACACGCGCTCATGTTGGTCATTGAGAATTTCTGGGGTTCCTATGAGATGATGACTTGTAGGTGGTACTTGGATGCTTTGGATTAGGGGTGGTACGTGGTCCAAAAAGTTTGAGAACCACTGCCTTAAAGGATCTAATGGTCTGAAATTAATCAGCAAATGCAGTTCTTTGACTGTTGAGGGTTCTTAGAAATACATTTAAAAACAGTCGTGCTTGCACCATAGATATTCAACTATTACATTTCCTCTGCATGATGGTTTCAGCTGATTAAGGTGGTACAGCCTCAAATCCCATAAGTGATACTAGAGCATTCTTATGCAACACGTATCAGCAGGTAAGTGCAGCAAACATATATCCGGCCTTCTTCTGTTCTGTTCTCTGTATGCACTTGGAGAATGACTGTGCAGCTTTAGTTTGACTGATAAAGATAAGACTGTGGAGAACTCCGTGCTGTAACATTATTTTGTGGTCATGATCTTTGCACTGATACATACTGTAAAAACTGTTTTTTAACTGGTGCTTTTTATCTTCACCAGAATACATTCATCCGTTGTAAATGATAAACATTTTTAATAGCAATAGCCAACATTTGTCTTTTATTATTGTTAAATAAAAGCCGTTGTTTTGAGTCATGATTTGAAAGTGCACAAGGAAGGTGACTCTCTGATAATGTTAGGGATAGAGTTCCAGAGCTTTGGGGCATAACAGGAGAAGCCCTGTTACCCAGATAGTGTAGATGGGCTTGGGGGACAGGACGGATAGGAGACCAGAATTAGAAGAGCGATGATAGTAGATCAGACAGGTACTGAGGTGGCAAGCTACAGTATGCAGAGCCTTACAGGTCAGAAGGAGGATTTTGAAGTCAACATGAAATTTGACAGGAAGCCAGTGCAAGGACTCCAGGATAGGAGTAATGTGATCACTTTACACAAGACCTGGTCAGGACTGGGTGCCAAATTCTGGACATACTAAAGTTTGTTCAATTTTACAATATTTTGTACGTGGAGCAAATGTCAAGCCTGGATCAAATATCATCCCCAAGCTCTTCAAATTAAGATTTTCAAGTACTGTGCCATCTACAGATAGGGTTACTGCACTGGATTTATATTGTTCGTGGAAAGTGCTGAGAAGTCTGCAGTTTAAATGAAGGAAATTTTGAGTCATTCAGGTTTTCATGTTAGCGATGCATTTGACATTGCAGAGACAGCCATTTCAGTGTCAGGATTAGTATGGATGTAGATTTGAGTATCATCAGCATAGAAATGATAATTAAGAACATCTTAATAGCTGACCAAGTGGGAACATGTAAATGCTGAACAGTAGGAGGCCCTGTATAAAGCACTGAAAAACACCAGACTTCAGAACTGGAACTCCCAAGAGAGACAAAGTGTCAGTGATCTGTAAGGTAAGACTTAGACCAAGAACAGTGTCAGAAACTCCACTGTTCTCAAGATGAGAAAGTAAGACATCATGATCAACAGTGTCAAAAGCAGCACTGAGGTCAAAGATAGGATGAGGTCAAGGATAGAAAGAGAAGCAGAATCAGAAGCCACAAGAAGATCATTAGTGACTTTACTCAGGGCATTTTCTGTGCTGTGTAGTTGTCTGAAACCAGATTGGAATGGTTTTAAGAGGTTCTTTCTAATACAGAAAATGTGATTTTAAATGTGATCCTAAATCTGATCTTGATGTAGGAGTGATTTCACACTGTGTCTGTGCTCAGGACACAGCCAATCACAGTGAAGTGTACAGCTATAAAACAGCATATTGTTACAGCGTTAGGTGACTGAGAAGTGTCTCTTAGATTTTAGATTTTAAATTTGTGACACTGGGAAGAGTAAACACTTCAAACTTCAAAGGAGAGGGGATGTTTGCTGAAGTCTGGAGGGTAGAAACAATTATAAAGTTTATCTTAGTATACCTAGGTAAGGCGTGGGTTAATGATTGCAAAGGAGCAGGACAGAAACAGAGAATATAAGAACATGATGAGGACAGAGAAGAAAGGAGGGGAAGAAGAAACAAGGAGAGCAGGGAAAGGAGAGAGGAGTCAGAGGAGTTGGGACTTGAACCCCCTACTTCATGATCATCCAAATCTGACTGCTGGTATGTATTTGAACCTTGTTAGAGAGAACATGCTTTTCTGATTTTTTTTAGGGAACTTGAGATTCCTGGGTAAAAGATACCTCAGTTAGAAACGTCTTTCCTGCTTAGGGTGCATTTTTATGGATAGGGATATAAGATCCCATTTATTTTGTGGCATCCGGGGTGCAGAGAAAGAGATTTAACTGCAGGTTTGTTTGTATTTAGTTATAAGGCATCTTCTGTGTTAGGGAACAAGTAATAGGTTTATTCCATGCTGAAAAAAAGAAGAAAGAGAATACAACGTCTCGGCTGTGGAGCCTTCTTCAGGTGTGAGATAGACAGGGCAAAGGGACTAACCGTGGAGAGCAGGAGAACGGAAAAAGACCCATATGGATAGCGGCGGAACGGGAAAAAGGCCCGGGCTCATTAGTGCATAGAGTTCAGTAATGCTGCATAGAAACCTATGCCCCCAGATAGCGGACGTGGGGCAACCTGGTGCTAGGCGGGTCTCAGGACATCCGAACGTCAATGCTGAGCGAGGGCAGAGTGCAAGACCCGGAAATAAATAGTCCAAGGGAAAGAGAGGGACCGGAAGGACAGCAGGCAGGAAACTAGGGACAGGACAGAGAAGGAGTGCCCTCTGGCTGCAGGGGGCGTGACAAGAACAAAGAATTTACGTGCCTCTAATTATACCAGCCGCTCAGGTATATTGCTAGAAAATCGGGGGTTATGAATTATTATTTCACTTATTAACTAAACCGCTCTGTCAATCCCTGATTTTCAGAAACCCCCATTTGTAAGAATATTTTTCTAGCTTCTCTGGATTAATTCCAAAATTATCTTTGGTTCCTAGAAAGCTGCAGATGCCAAATCCTGCAGATTTTTTAAACCTCCAGCAGAAATCAGATCAAGGGAATATAACAGTCTTATCTGTAAACTGGTTAATTTAAGGTTGCAGCAGAAAACTGGATACTAAGACACTGAGAACCTCTGACTTGGCTGTGAACCCCATCTGTAGAGCAATGGACCCCCTAACTGGTTGGTTATGTTACACCTGTGCACTGAAATAGTGAACCTTCAATAGACTTAATAACAGGTTTAATTTGAGCTCTTTAACTGTTTTCAAGTTCCTAAACATGTGGTAGGCTGCCTTTTATAGGGGAACTACAAGGCTATTTTTAAATCTGGAGTAAGAAAGAATCAGCATTGATGAGTGCATTTCAAACCACAATAAAAGTAAAATTTACATCACAAAATATCCAGGTATGCACATCGCCATGTTCTGCGATTCAGACTGCCTCTCGATTTGGAGGCAGTAGAGACGACAAATACTTACTTGTTAACTCTGCATACAATTCATGTTGGAAACTTTCTGTGGTGAAAGGTTAGTTGCACAACCTGTACTATTAGTCATTATAGTGACTAGTTAGCAGCAAGGGCCGCATCACGTCACAATTTGTGGGAACTCGAATATGAGTTTGCAAAAACATGGCGATTTACAATGCTTTCACAAAGGTTGTTATTTTGGGTTTAATATGAAATTTGTCATTTTTTTATATTGTCATATGAATTTATTTTGTTACTGAGATTTAATAGTCTGAGAAGTTGGGACTGCAGTTTCCCTTTAACTGTTGTGTTTCTTAAACAACTTTAGCAACGTAAGCAACTTTTGAGATGGAAAAAAAACCTTGCAAGAGGCTGATGAAAAACAACAGTTGTGGAGGTGCCCAGGAACAGGACTTGGAACCCCCAGCTATTGAGGCCTCAGTGACCACAAATCTCATGCTGGAAAATTATTGGCAGTAATAAACTACCGTGCCTGTGAAGACAGAGTGTTCTTACTGTAGCAAAGCACCACTCACCTACGGTCAATTGCTGTGGTGCAGCTGTGTTTACAGGTGTCTGTAAATCTCCAGCTTCTTCAGAGCAAGGAATGACTTCAGTTTGATCAATTAAGTATCAGTTGAAATATTGAGAGCTCAGGTGGAAAGAAAACCTGGAACTTTCTGGCCATTCAGGAATGGAGCTGTGCTCCTGCTATAGACTTATACAAGGCAATTGCTAACTTATTCTAATAATAAAGGCAGCTTTCCAAAGCTCTAAATATCTTTGTAGTTCCCCCTTTCTCCCTTTTAAACAACTGATGACCTCATGTGAAAAGGAAAAGAGCACCCTGAATCTGCTCTGTAAGTTATTAATTTAACTTTGTTGTTGCTGCTGAGACCGCTCCATGCAGCCGGTTTGTCCCGCAACACCTGGGGAAAGAAATGTAATCTGGGCTTCAGTACAATTATGTACCTTTTCTTTCAGTACCTGGATAGCCCCGGCTCTCCACTGCACATTGCCTCTGCAAAGCAACAGTTCTAAATATAGCCCACAGTGATTCTGGGGCCGATGAAGACTTGCTTTAAATTGACGTCAAGGGTTAAGATTGTGAGACTGAACATGTATCTAGGTCACTCAGCTAGAGCATGGTTGGTGCTTCACTGGGAGCAGAGACGAAATCTCTCAGAGCAGCTCAGCAGCTAGACCACAGAAAGAGCAGGACTGCCCGGAGGGGGCCAACAAACCACAATATCATCAGCAACAGGCCTCAGGGCACTCTGCTCATGACACCATTCTGCACGACTAATCACACCCCCCTCCAATCTCCTTGTGAGCTGATTGTCATGGCCATACAGTTACCTGAACAGGTTTGTGTTTACTGTAAGGGTCTGAGTGGAACTAGTGAACTACTTCGGCACCCGAGCTGCTTATCTCTAGTATTCTCTGTATATTCCCTTATTCGTATTGTGAGTAGTGTCAGAACAGGGAGCTCCATTAGCCTGGGAGCTGCGAAGAAGATGATTCCACACTGAAAAGTAAAACTACAGAACTCTTCACACATGGGAATCTTGCACACTCCCCCCTTCCTGCAGCTCACAGCTGAACAACCGGGCTCCAGCAAGTGCAAAACTGTGCTGAAAGGCATGTCGTTTGTCAAAATGCACACCAGTCGCAAAGGTGACTTGATTGGTGGGTGAAATTCCCTCTTTCCTTTGTATTAAGGTGACGCCAAAGGTCTTGTGACTAATTCCACAACATCAAGCACACCTGGAGGGTAGCACAGGCTCACAGGTTGCAGAACTTCTGCAGTGATGTTGCTCACAGCAGGAGGACGACACCGGGCTTAACCAAGAGGCAGCTGGAAGAAGCAGGAGTTGAGTACTGCCACACCACTTTTCATTGCCAAATGGAAAGAAAATATACACAGTTTCAATTTTTTAATGAAAATATATTAAACATATATTTTCCAGTTACGTAATATACAGTATGTCTTTAACATATTGTAATGATTCAGATCTTTGACACACAGATTTGATAATGTTTTTCACCACGATACCAGTAAATTGTTGTTTTTGCTTTTTTAAATGTACATCTAAACTGGGTGGGTTTAAACTACATACAGAGCAATATGCTGTATTGTATTTCTTTTAGTACATGATGAAAGTCAATTGACTTCCTTTCACACACTTGCCCCCAGGAAGTAGCTCATGTGGTCTGAGCAGCTCAGCTCAGCCCTGTTGAAAGCGGTTCGACCTGTAGTGTTTGGGGAGTGACAGATGCGCGAGTGTGGGTGACAGACACTGTGAAAATACAATCCCACCCAGCACCTCGACGAGAACAGTCCAGGACGCCCCAGAACACGCAGGAACAGCGGACGAATCGGGGACTGCCCTTGTGGTTTTCTGTGTCTGCAGACCCAGGTTCAAGCCTGTGCCCAGACCAGGCCCGAGGTCAAGCGGCAGAACCGATCCGCGAGGCTCCTAGCTCAAGCCGCGTCGTCCGAGGTCCTGCTACGGCACAGCCCAAGTCTCCTTGAATCACTCAGCCCCTGGCCGGCAGGGGGCCGGACTCTCTCCAGGCTCCGGGCCCTGGGGCAGGGCGACCGACACAACTCGAGACGCGAAAGATGTAAAGCCAGCATCCCAGCGTGTAGCTCAGAAGCAGCCCAGGGCGCTGCACCTGCCCTCTCTCTCGGTTTGCAGTGCCATGCCTGCTGGAGCCCCACCTGCACGGTCAGCTGACAGACCGGCCTCCTGCGGTCAGAACCAGCCGCCCCACCACCTCGCCCCCTGCCACTCTCTTCACCACGGTTCTATATTAGGAGATTAGGTCCCCCCCCCCAGACTGCAGAGCAGAGATGCTGTTGAAATTATTTCTTTTCTGCATAATTAGAACATTTTAATTAGCACGCGGAGCTCTTTAATTAATACAGTCCCAGGGTGATGGGCGCCGCGCATCGATAAGACTGCTCTCCTCCCTCAGCCCTAATCTGCTGTCATCTGCTCTATTTAAAAACCACCAGCAGAGAAAAATACTTCTTCCATTCTCACTACATGACAATTTAAAAAACCTTCCCTTCTCCCTTTTTTTTGGAGAAGAAAACAGCATTCGTACTACATACCCAGATTTGAAATTTAGACACCCTTGAATTCATTTTCTTGTAGTAATAATAACAGCAATAATAATTATAACAATAATAATCAATACATTCTAAAAACTACTTTTTGTATTTCTTTTCTGCTTGTCTTCAAAAACATATAGTATAATTAATTTTTTCCCCCTTTCGCTAGTAGTAACTTAAATATTTACAAAGATTAATTTACAACCAATGGCCCTGCCCAGTCTGATAAATTTGTCCTTTTTTAAAAATAAAAAGCACAAAAAGAGTTCATAGTCCGTGTTTATATTAGGTTTCTTTTCCCTGCTGTGGGCTCTCACAGGGAGGCCATCTGGCTCAGGACCATGCGGAACTGCTGCGTGGAGTTCGCCAGGTCCCGCACCCTGTCAATCATGTCCTTGGCCGCAGTGGCTGATGGGTACTGTAGCGCCGCTGTCTTGGTGGTGACCACTATCTCCTTCAGCTTGTCACAGAGCAGGTTGCTGTGCTGTGTCACCTTGTTGCGGATCTCCAGGGCCTTGGCTTGCCTGGACAGGGTGTCCCCAATGAAGACCAGCTTGTGGGCGCTGAGGATGACGAACTTGCTGTGCGCCACGAAGATCTTGGGTGGCTGGTTGTTGTTGATGGAGGAGTAGAAGGCGTCGATGGCGTTGTTGAGCGTGGTGATGTTGGCCTCGCACTGCTCGGCATAGAAGAGCAGCAGTTGCCGGTCGCCGGGGCTCAGCTTGCTCCGCGAGGGGGGGTAGTGGGAGGGGGCCGTCCAGTTGGTCATGTCGTTGTCGATGGGACGGGTCACCTCCTGCTCCAGCCGCTCGAACTGCTTCAGCTGGAGGGCAGAGAGAAGAGAGGCGTGAGCAACGAAACCCCAGATCCTATCAGACAGTCCTTTCGAACTCATGACTGGCTCTCTGGGATTATTGCGAAGGATAACGAATCGTAATTAATTCACTGTTTCTGGGTGGCGCAGGGCATTGCAATACTCTTCATATGAACAGACCTGTAGGCTGTAGGCCACAGCAGAGGGGTCTTCACACAGAGAAGCCCCAACAGAAAACAACACAACCAGCTGGGCTCAATACTTAATACTGTATGATGTTATTGGTAAGTATTAATGAAACACGAATGTCCATGTAGACAGTCTGGTTTTCAAGGGCAGAATCAGCTTTTAGACAGAGTGGGTGAAAATCAGAGTATTTTGTTCCAACATCACATTGTTTTTAAACGGCTGTCTAGGCTATGAAAGGTCTGTTTTGGGCCGAATAATGAAGGTGTCCTTATCTTCCACTGCCTGCCATGCAAACCAGTTCTGGCCACACAAAGGAGCGCCTCTCCAGCTCACTGAGCTCACCTGCTGCTGGGCCAGCTGGGCTTTACCCTGTCGGATAATGTTCCCCTTCTCCAACAGCTCCTTCTGGTTTTTCTCAAATTCCTCTTTCCCCTAGAGAGCCAAGACAAAAAAAAAGAAAAAAAATTGCTTGTGAAAAGTACACAAACCCAACTAAAACTAGAACTGCTGACTGGCCAGGGTGATTCTGAAGGCTTTTTTCTACAGCATGAAGCCTTCTGCAGAAGCTGCAGTTTATTAGTCCAGGTTCAAGTCCAGTTTCAACTCTGAAGCTTTGAGAAAAGGAAAATAAACTTTTGAGTTGATGTTGCCATAAGCTGATCTTGCTTGGGGTGACGTTAACGCTTTGTGAGACAGAGGTTAAGACACAGCAGAACCCTGGGCTCAGGAGGTCAAAGAGCACACCGACTAGAGAACATAATCTTATGATCCAGCAGGTTTGGTAAATTTCAAATGATTATTTGGATGGTTCTTACCTTGAATAAACAATAGTAAAATCTGTTGTCTTGATCTGTATTGGAGAGTGAGGCTACCAAACACAATATGGCAGAGATGTCACATTGTGTTATATAACAGGCCAACAGCAGGTGGCAGTGTGGGTCCACCTCACCCAGCCTTTCCGTTCACACTGAAGGCCGGAGGCTGAAGCACACTGAAGGCTGTGCCAGGATAATGCTACTGATTCAGTTGGAGTCCTTTGCATATCTACATTCTACTCCCTGCTGTGCAGCAGGGTAAATACTGGGATCTGCAGCCATTCCTGCTGAAGATGTTCTGACCCTCAGTGCACTGTACTCCATTACATTCAAATGTCAAAAACCCAGGGAGAGCCTCTGGAAATCCCACAGGAAAAGCTAAGATGTACCAATTTTTTATCACCCATTTACCCTCAAAAACTGTACTGTGTGTCACACAGGCTACAGACATTCTTTCCCTTGACTCCGTGTCGCCCAAGTGGAAGACAAAAGCACTATGTTGCAGGAACAGGGGTTGGCGTGCATGAAGGACAGCACAGTCAACATGACCACAGCCACTGTGACAACACTGGCCATCTGCTTCTGAATGAAGCTTGAACATGGGGGAAAATCTCTTCAAACATAAAACAGGCAAAAATCTTTCTTACAAAAATCTTTTTTAAAACAGCAAACCCTTTCTGTATCTCCCAGCACGGGCAGATCGACAGAGACTCTGCAGGGTGCACAAAACCAGATATTGCAAAGATCCAGTGGCAACACACGTCTTTAGGTGTGAACTGTCACCTAATGTATGATGCCTTAACACTATGGTTCACGGTTCCATTTCAGATTAAAACTTCACACATCAATAAAGGTGCAACTTCCTGTTTAAAAAATGCTAACAGGATCCTGCCTTTTAACTACATCATGTGTAAATAATGCTGCTATTTGCTGCTATTTCAGATCTAAAACAGTCGGACATTTTTTCCAGATCTTTTCCAGGTTTTTGACATTTGACACCTCAGTGAACCTCAGCTCCCACTGCCCCTTTGGACTCAAACAAACGATAAATGGAAAAGGAGCAGGAATCTGTAAGAGAGAGAAGCGGGGGGAAGTAGAAGAGAAGATGGAGAGAAAATTAAAGGACTCACCTGTAAATGAACATAATCATAGTCCTCCATCCAGCCTCCCTCTGTGTTCTCATACTGACTGTCTAGTGTGTCCTCCGCCATGAACTTCGGTGGCGAGGGCAGTGGTCTGGACTGGATGTTGGGCTTTTCAGGCAGGCCAGTCTGGTAGGCCGAGATGTTGTTGTTATTGGTAACCTGGCCCAGGCTCTCCAGCCCGGCCTGGGAGAAGGTGTGCCTGGAGTCCCCCAGCTGCGGGGTGTGCGGCGCCTGCTGCTTTGTCCTTTTAAACAGTAGGGAAGCGTTCCCGTGGAGGAAGGAGGCCAACTGCTTGGTGTCGTCGGGGACACCCCTGGAGCACATGACCAGGCGGTCCAGGTCGTCCCCTGAGCTGGTCTTGCCAGCCACCAGCACACTGAGGGCCCAGTTGCAGTTGTCCAGCGCCTGGCTGTGCTTCAGCAGTCCCTGGTAGCCCTCCTCCATCTTCTGGACCTGCTTGCTGAGTTTGGCCTGCAGAGTGCGGTCAGTGGCCTGGGCAGCGTTGGCCACAGCCCCGCGGGCGAACTCCAGCAGGTCCTTCACCGAGCTCTTCACCCTCTCCACGGCCGCGCGGATGCCCTGCAGGTTGGCCTCCATCTGCTCGGGGCTGCGCCAGCTGCTGCTGATGAAGGACATGAGGCTGGACACCGAGCTCTCCACGCTGTGCTGCAGCTTGACCAACACTTCCATGGCCACGTCCAGGTCCAGCTGGAGCTCTCTGCCCGAGGGCTTGGCCGTCACCGAGGACTCCTTGACGGGGATGATGTCCAGCGAGGAGGTGGAGAGGTTGCTGCGCGTGCTGCCCGTGCTGGAAGCGGACAGCCGCTTGAAGCTGATGGTCAGCTCCTCTGTGGAGGCGGCATCCCGAACCACCTGGGGAGGCACATCATAGATGTAGTCGCCCATGTCCTCGCCCCCGAGCGGCCTGCCCCCGGCCGGGTGCTCCCTGGGGAAGTCGTACACGTCCTGTGGGCGCTCCTTGCGCAAGCTCGGGGGGATGTCGTAGATCTCCTGGGCTGCAGTGGCGTCGCCCTGCTTCCCAGACAGCGGCGGCACGTCATACACGTCGTCGGGGTGCTGGGGCTGGACCGGGGGCTGGTGGGGCTTGCTCTCAGGGCTCTTCTTCATCTTCACGAAGTGCGGGGGGACGTCGTAGGTCTCCTCTCGGATCAGCCCGTCCGGAACGTCCTTGCTCACGGAGGGCGGGAAGTCATACACCTGCGAGGCAGGAAGCACCGGCAATTATCTCCCGGCTCCATGAATCCAAAACAAAACCGACCTTTCCCGAAAATCCCAGCTTTGTAGTGCTGGAAACCCGAACTCTTGCTACGATCCTACACTCACTCTTGCCCGCAGAGCTTGGGAAACTCCCAGCTTGCTTTTGCAGAGGCTCACCGTTTGCTGTACGTGGACGTGGCTCTTCTCCACAATAGGCGGGGTGTCGTAGATTTCCTGCACGCCCTCTCGACTCGGGGGACCCTTCACGACCATGGGGGGGGTGTCATACACCTGCAGGGGACACAGAAGTCAAGGAGCTGAGTCTCAGAGCCTCAGTTCAAGACAGTTCCATTGTACGGTCTAACATAGAACTTTTTCACATGACCCCTGACACAGTCACAGGCCTGCTGAGCAGAAAATAGACAGTGTAACTGGCAGGAGATACAAATCAAGCACTGATGAAAACAAAAATTAACTTCTTGCAGTGTGTCAAAGTGTGTGCATTTAATCTGATTGGCATGTTTCACAGTGGTGTTTTGATTTACTGTAGCTGGCTGTGATTTCACAGACATAAAAAGCCACTTTCCAGCCAAAACTCTCTTTCTCTCTTCTCAAATATCTATCCTGTTAGGTGCAGACATTGTTATTTTCTTCCTTTCCTGCCCACATGTCGGAAGATTGTTCTTTTGCAGCCTGAACAAGAGAAGCACTCTCGGGCCCGAGGACAAATTGGCGTATTGTTGAGACACTCGAACACCCTTTCAGATCGAAGTGCTTCCTTTCTGAAGGGGTTTCCGAGATACTGCTGCTACAACAGACAGATTAACTCGATTGAGAGATTCTCTATAGGACAAATTCTTCTCCCAGGTTTTACATGGAAGTACGATCAGTTTGCTTTATGGACCTCTGCCTCATGCCAAGTTGCAGCAGTGATTGACTCAGCCTGTGAGTGATTTCTGATTGGAATCGATTTCATGATCCACAGTGTAGCGTGAACCCACTACGGACATTCAGAAATGTAGAGAAAATGCATTTAGACCTGGTGTCTAAAATGTCTGGTGAGAGAAATCAATGGACACGATGCGTTACACTGTGCTCACTTCATGAATGATCAGCAAAGTATCCAGTAATAGAGAGAGACCATGTGTTCCCACAATTAATGCAATCCCGTCAACACCAACACTCCAGTCAGCAATCAAAAACATCTACAACCCCCACTGCTCTGGGCTCACCAGCATGCTGATGCCCAGCAGGTCCAAACCCTCACAGAAACACACATAACCCCAGGTCTGACATAGGTTATTAAAAACATTGCTGGATTTTAAAAACTGTAACAATATTAAAATGTTACAGTTTTAGATAAAAATGTTACAGTATTAGAAAAAATGCTGCTGTTTCTTCACACTAGATTATGAACTCATGCCCTTTATTTCTCCCAGTTGTAAGCGCTCTGGGGGAAAAGCGAGGGTGATAGACTGTGGTACAGGTGTCTCTGGAAGACGAACTGTGCCAGCCATGTTCTTTTTAGCAATCGGTGCCCTGGCTGAGCCAAGGCAAGTCCGACTGAATCACGCTCTGACTTTCGATCTACATTAAGACAGTTAAATTGGCCCTGGTGCCTGGTGCCTGCGAGTGAGCAGATCAGCAATTATAGTTCTTCCTGCACAATGAGATACAATGAGATACAAGAGAGAGGAGGGGACCTTGAATATTAACATCAAACGCCAGCTAATCGTTCGCCTTGAGGGCAGATCAGAAGAAGAGACGAAGGAAAGCAAGAGGTTGTTCAACAGCAGCAGCAGCTACGCGGGCTGGTCAGACCCTTTTCGGTCAAGCAGCTCTGCGGTGATGGGCTACGCCTCCTCAATCCCTAACACGCAGTGCTAGTGAAAGACGCGCTGCAGCCTCTGCTGGAACACAGGTCTGCAGCGAGCGCCTGCTCTTCTGACCGCAAGCACACGTACAGGGCTTATTCTTTTTTTAATTCTTGCGCCAGTTTGGCTGTGGGTGACAACAGCGCCAGCAGCGAGGCGCCTTTATTATTAGCACAGGCACAAGAACTGTGAACATCGGCTTTATATAGACTGTGAAACACTGAAATTAAAAATGAAATTCCTGGAAAAGAACTCAGTGAAACCTGAAGGTCAAAAAGGTATTAATTCAAGCCGATGAATAATTTTATGCAGAAGAAGTCACTATGAAATAACTATGAAATGAAAGAAGTCCCTATGAAATGAAAAGCCTTCTTTGCCTGGGTCATTACTGCTCGTGGGCAAGGGCAGCCTGCATCAGGACAGGTGTCGCTTCTGCAAACATGTCAGGCATTTCAAAACCAACAACTGTCCTCCATCTCCAGTCCCCTCTGCCAGTAGGAAAGTTGCTCTGCACTCTGACAGGTAGAACCGGAAATTGAAAAGCACGTATATCACAAGACTGGAAAAGCAGATGAGCCATGTTTACGCACAACAAAGATTCCGACTCTAAGTGGAATTAAAGAACCCCAGCTTCCCATTTATCATCCTGGCAGCGCTCGACGCTAGATGAGGCATCCTGTTCCCCGGGAGCTCGCTCGAGCAGAGGCAATGTGGAGAGTGGCACTCAGCTGAAACCAGCAGATGCAGAGGAATCCCGAGGGAGCTCTGGAGCATACTGCCAGTCGGGAGCTCATTCTGCGCCTGTCTGGAGCTGTCCTGTTCCAGCAGCTCCAGAGCGCCTGCGCGCCCCGGCTCGGGCGGAGAGTCAGCTGCTGGCACACAGCACTGTGCTGCCCTGAAAGCCACCGGGGCCAGCGCTGACCACGGAGCAGATCTGTCCCACCGCCGCACTGGCTGACAGGCCTGTCACTGTCGCTTCTGGCTGCGTGGGGTCATTAGGAGAAGGCCAACAAGCAACTCATTTAAAGGTTTTTAAAAACGGAATATCCAGCATCTCCCTTCCTATGTTTATTTCAAAGTCCATGAAAGTTACCAGTACCAGTTACCAGTCCATAAAAAGGAAACTTACTCGTGGACTTGATTATTCCTAGCATCCATTTCTTACATAGTGTTTTAGAACCATGGTACAGCTGTTTTAAGTTAAAAAAGTTCTTTAGTATTCTGTCTACGAATAATATTTTCCTGCTCAAAAGACACCCATCTATCACACATGCAAACATAAGTAAATCCTGTATATACATGAATAATAAACCTGGGGCCTGGTTTTAAACAGCCAGAGATCCTTCTAAATCCAGGTGGGGGGCTGCACACTGGTGGTTTGTGGAGCGGAGTCCCCATTACCTGTAAAGCGCTTTGAGTGTCCAGAAAAGCGTTATATAAATGTAAGGATTATTATATACTATTATATAATAATACCTGCTGGCTATACTGGAGTTACCTATCGGCTATACTGAAGTTACCTGCTGGCTCTACTGGAGTTACCTATCGACTATACTGGAGTTACCTATTGACTATACTGGAGTTACCTTCTGGTTATACTGGTATTACCTGCTGGCTGTACTGGAGTTACCTATTGTCTGTACTGGTATTACCTTCTGGCTATACTGGTATTACCTGCTGGCTATACTGGTATTGCCTATCAGATGTACTGGTATTACCTGCTGGTTGTACTGGCCCCTGGTTGGAGGAACATCGTAGATCTCCTGGGATGGTGGAAGGTGGCGCGGGACATCATACTCGTCCTGTTCTGTCTTTGGGTTTTCATACACGTAGACCTGTCCCACCCTTGTCGGGACAACCACCTGGAAAACAGAACGGAGACCAGCGAGCATCAGCCAACAGCCCGTTGACAACTCTCTGAGAGGGTTTACCTTCGGTGCACGGCAACAAAATCCATTTGAGCACACTGTGGATGAGACTCAAAATAAAAGCCCGGAAGGAGACTGACCAGCTGGAACACTCCATATTTGTACAGTTTTGTCCCACCGTCACACCAGCCCTGCACAAGCAAACACCCACTGCTGACCTCTGCCCTCATCCCATCTCCCTGCCCTTGCGAGTGGCAGCAGTTCAAGCCAGATGTGAAAAGTGCTGGCAGTGCAGTGTGGGAACCCAGACTACTATTGTCTATGGCATTTACCCAGCCTGCAATAACACACATTCCAGCTGACCCAGCCTTAGGCCACAAGAATTATAAGACATTTTCAGGAAAACATCCTGTTGAATCAAGGTGGTGCCACAACAGAGGAGACCACTTCAGACAGGTGCTGCAGGCAGAGCTGCTTGCATAGCTGACCGGTCTTTTGCAATCTGTTCCTTCAATTGCACGCACCGCGCTACACTCCACTGCCCCTGGTTTTGGGAAACTGGCACCAACTGTGGCAGATCTGGGCAAACGCTACAACAGAGGGGTGCCTGTACCTCAAGGGCCCACGGCCACTCTGACACAGCTTGGCTGAGAGCTACTCCACTCTATAAAGGTACTGGAATGGAAATTCTCGTTGAGTGGGTGACATTTTAACAATGAACAGTTTTGGCATTTTATTAAGAATTACAGAAGATATATAGTACGTTGTTTCTAGCCTACAATTCCCCCCCATCTGCCCACCAAAGCAAAACTGAGTTACTGTAGTTATTTATCCATTTCATTTTTGCCATTGTCTCCAACTGCTCCTTTGTAGTGTGATCAGTCGTTTAGATTAATCTTTAAAAATTCATTTCATCTGGTTAAAATTTTGTAAATAAAACCTTTTCCCAGTACAGTAATGTTTTTATACAATTACAGAAAGAAGTGCATAGTATCTAATTCACTTACACACTTTGCTGTATCCGTGCTTGTGCAAACACAGCAAGATCTACAGCTCACACTTCAGGGCTCCACCCAGGTGAGCAAGATCACACCGAGGAGTGTGAGATGTCAGAGGACTGTGTTGGGGGTATTCGTGTTAATCATGACTCTGGGATCTCCGGGACAGGGGGCAGTGGCCACAATCGTGAGTCTCCTGCTGTGCAGAATCTCTTGAAAACCTGTCCTCACCGTGACAATAATTATGGAGCTGCAGGTAACAGGGCTGTTTTTAGTTTTCTTCCAGCAGTAATTACTGGCCTGTGCAGCATGGAGTGTAAAGGGCCTGGAAAACTGTAATTTTCATCAAAGCTTCCAAAGAGTGCCGATAAGACCCAACATGCCGGTAAACATACTCAGGAGGAGCACTCCCCACGCCCCTCCCCGTCAGGGGGCTTTTTTAGATAAAAGGCAGGTGGGAGGCCGGAGGTCTTCTCCTCTGTGTGAACGAGGCCGAGCACGTGAAGGGAAGGGAGAATGGCCGCACCACAGCACTGACACGGGAGGAGACACAACACGCTGGGGCTTCAGCCAAGGCACAGCAGGCTGATTCGATCAAAGTCAGTATCGGCGACAAGCGCAAGCTTTTCTCCAGTCCGGCCTCAGCTCTCAGGCTGCTTTGGGCCATGCTTTCAGAGTGTTCACCCACTCCTGTCCCCCTGCAGATTCGTGCTACAAATCCACAATTGTTTAGCTGACAAGGGGCAAGAGTGACATAACAATGAAGGTACTTGCAGTATTAACATTCCGCAATTGAGAAGCCTAAGGATGCGTCAGCTCTGTGTTACAGATTGAAGATTCCTCTGTGCTGCTTGTGATTGTGCACGTCTGGCTGCTCTTCAGTGGGAGCTGAAGTGCTGACGTGCTTTGGCAAAGGTAAGAGCAAGGCTGCACATCACACCAGTGAACTGCACTGCGCACATACGCCCCCTGGGGGCCTGGAGTAAGCCTGCCTGTGTCTGATCTCCCTGCTTTTGCTGGCTGTGCTGACCTTAGTACCACCACGCAGCAAGACAGCATCCACAAGGGACACAGCAGCAATGGCAACGACAATGAGATTAATGGAAAATGTTCTCCTTTCCCCCCCCCACCGTCTTAATTTGCTAAGAGCATACAAAGCAGCCTAAAAAAATCAGCGGTTAGCAACTGAATCTCATTTGGAATAACACAGATCCAGCAAGTCACCGCTAATTTGCAGCTAATTAACTTAGCACTAGGTCAACCCATTAGAATCAGCTGATAACAATCACTTTACAAATGCCTTAATTGAGGTTTTAAATTCAGAATTTTGCTTAAATGCCATTTACCCTGCTTATAGGCTTATTAAGGCAGACATGCTCTAATAAGACAGAGCAATCCTTTCACTGACTGAAGACCAGCTGATTTCTTCCCATCTTTCTTAACTGCTTTACCGAGAAGCACAGCTCAGAGCTGTTAATCATTACCTAAGCTTTCATTCCAGAATACAGGACAGGTGCCAAACACTCCCAGCCCAGCAATTTCTTTCTGAGTGTCACACTGTAAACAACACAATTAGCGAAATGTGTGGGCACGCGAGCATCACGCACAGGAAACGTTTTCTGTTTCCTTATTGTCGTGGCAACCTGGTCTCCTTCCCGATGGTTCGGAGAGTGGACAGTCCCTGACGGAATGTCCCAAAAAGCAGGATGACTCGGAGATCCTGTACAAAGAGGCCACAGCGATGCTGGAAAAGGTCGCAGGGCCAAGCAGCAGACCCCTGAACCCAGACGACTTTGAGACAAAGCCTCTCACCTGCCAGAGAACAAACACGCACGCCAGCACAGGGCTTGCACTGCACACGAATCAATGGGGCTCTTGTTAAACATAAGAGAACCGTAAGAACAATGTGACTGCTAATTACACACCACAGTCTGATTAATAACAGGATACTGTATCTTTGCATAATTGGCATTGCCGCTATGAGGACCTGAATGAGAGAGAGATAACTGGAGAACTGTGATGAAGCCTTTACATCATTTGTCTATGAGTGAAGACTGAGGTTTCAAGCACGAGAGACACACATGCAGACACACACGGCTTGTTTAGCCATAGAAAGTTACAAAAAGGTTCCCGAGTCTGCGCAGGCATTACTGCACAGGACTTGCCAATTTTTTATTCAATCATTTTAAACTAAGGAGAAGGACACAGCCGTCTGAGAAACAGAGCAGAAACTGCAGGAAGCAGAACAAGGTGCCGTTTGACTCTGGCCCCATGGGTTTTTTTAAAAAGAATTCTGGCAGGAGGCGAGAAAGAAAAATCTAAATATGTCAACAGAACACACAGGCAACTCATGTCTGCTGAATGCACTGCTGCCTCCTGGAGGTACTGTAAGGATACTGCACAAGTACATGCATCAGTCTGCTTTTATCTAAAAAACAAAACATTCTAACAGAGAGCCCCTATATAAAGATGACCTTAAAAATACTGACGTTAGAAAACAACAGGGAAACTTGAGAAGAAATCTTGAGATTAGCATTGAGAATGGGAATGCGAGCCATTCCCTGTTAATCTTCAGCCTTAAACGTGCTGGGGTGATAGGGCACCGGTGAGGAGTGGTCATACAGATGTGAGAGTGAGGCTTATCTAAGGAAAATCAATGATGTTTGACATGGTTATCAATGAGACCCAGCAGGGCAGAGTCACAGCATAAGGACCAGCTGTCACAACACTCCCCTGAGCCAGGGAAACAATGACATCATGAGAGAGGGGTCATGCCCACTGTGGAGAGGAGGAGTATGGTCAGTGACAGCTGTGCAGGGATCACACTCCACTAAAATTAAATCTTGTGATCTCAGTTAGCGGAGACCTCTTTGGGCCCTAGTGAGCCAGCTGACAGATTGCAAATCTATCACCCCCACACGCAGTGGGTCCTCTGTTACAGAAACACATGCCGACACACAGAAGGCCATGACATGTCGAGCTGCATCCTGATGCAGAGAACACAAAAGAAACCACCTGGTTCTGACTCCCCTTTTTACAGAGTGCTCACTGAGACACAGAAACACACAGTTCTGTGCATCTCCACCAACTGGCTCTTTACAAAGCAAAGGAAACAGAATCATTACTGAAGGTGAGCCCTCACTTACTGTACTTACAAAGTAAATATTAGCTCTGCACCAGCAAGCTTTTTTGTGCTGAACAGAACAGATGAGCAATCCCACACACAGTCCTTTTGCATGATTTTTACAGATTCTCACTGAGTTACAGTCAGTCCCTGTGGCTGCGAGCTAAAGCCCATGTTGAGAGAGACACCACAGAAGTGACCTTCTGGCTGCTTTTCTAAAAGCCCCTCAAATAAGTCTTGCAATAAGTAGGACTATCCCACAGTTTGGTGTCTCAAGCAGATTAATACATTAACTGACAGTCTTGCTACAAGGATAATCATTGTACATCCTTATCTTGTATAAAACAGTCTTTTACAGATTATACAAGCAGCTAATCCTAAATCCTTCCCTTGCATGCCACAGTTTCTCTCTCCCAATTTATTTTGCTTCACTTGAATTAGGAGAGTCCAGCAATGGTATTTACTCTGGAACTTTTTTCATCACTATCATCATCATTAAAATATTTACACTGTTACAAGAGAAACTGAGCACACCACATGCATTGCTGAGCAATATCTGCTACTTGCTGGAGTTCCATATAAAAAAATTGACTGAATCCTGGATATTGCTGGACTACACTTAGTATTCACATGTGATGGATCAGCAAACACAAGCCGTGCTGTAAAAGTGAGTCAATGGGAGATTATTTTGGATCTTTTTGCTGCTTCTGTGTTGTTAAAGGACATGGTTGATAAAGATAAGAACAGCATGATTCATTGTTGTCTTACATAATATAAAAATGCGTGCTCTGTGGTTTATTTAAAAAAAAAGCACGATAGCAAGTGTGGTGCTTGTGAATAAAGATACGCATTTCTGGGCCAAACAACACAGG